GTCTAGGATGAAGTCTTTAGTAGACCATCAGAAAGCAGGCTTCCTCTAAAGCCCACCCCCATAATTAAGGGCAACGAAGCAAAGATTCTGACAGTAGATGCCGAGTGATTTTTTTTCTTGTTCATTGACAGCTAAGGAGTAGACAAATTACAACCTGCTGCCTCTATGACACACCTGGCCTCTAGCTCGTATCAAGCTGCCCCTCATTTTCTGCCCCTCTCACAGACCCTCTGCCGCCACTGCATAAAATTCAAACCACCTTCTTGTGGACATGCAGTCTGCAAAAAGCTCTAGAAGGCCAGAGGGCAGGGTGGTTTCTTTCTGCACCATTGAGAGCTAGACCTCTTCTTGCCCCATTTCATTAGCAGAAGCAGCAAAAGAATCAAGGTCTGCCATCAAATTTGGGAGTGCTGCCATCTTCTGTCAGTTCGAGAGGGGCCTGTGGAGCCCTCTGTAACCCCCAGATGTTGCCCGCCTTTGGCTACTTTTAAGAAATGAAAAATGAGGTACTTTTAGATGTGCAACTGTAATAGCAACCTACCACTTGGGACTGATTGTAACTAATTATTTTTTAAAAAGTAACTATTCAAGCTTTTAAGGCAATGAATGTTAAGCACTCAGGTGGTCATTTCCCCCATTACTTTTCCAAACAAGAAAAAGGAAGCATCTGAATGCCCTTAACACACACATACATGGAAATCACTGAATAAGTGTTTCTGAATAAAAGAATATGAGTTCACCTCTCTTTGCACAGGTTACAACGTGAACGCAGCTGCTAACATCACTTGAAGCCAGAATGACAAGCAGAAAACATATTGCAAATGGCCAACATGGACCATTACACTGATATCAATTACCCGTGGAAGTTTAGGCCACACTGGGCAGCAAAGAGAAAATGGGCTTCTGATGTTTATGTTTTCTATGGCTACGACTTCTGTACTGCACTCACTTCTCGTGGCAGTGCCCCTGTCAGAGAGCTAGTCCTCTGTTTGAAATATCTGGCGCTCCATGTGCTGCTAGCATTTAAGCTGCATCTGAAAGTTCAAAATGTACCAAGCATCTCATCCGTGAAGGATAGCTGTTGGACTGTGCAAGGTTAAAACAACAGAAGTTAAACCCATGGATATAATGGATGGCCCGCTACAGTATCAGCTGAAAAGCTAGACTTCTGCATATTTACCCTTCACCAAAAAATTCCAACAGAGAAGGGATCAGTCACTTTTACCTGAACATAATCTTGACCAGTACAGGAAAAAGCAATATTGTTAGAAGTCAAGAGGACCAGAAAAGACTGTGGAATGCATCTGTGACCTTTCACCTCCGAGTGATTCCACAAATGCCGGATTTTTAGGACAAGGAGTGGGAATCTGTGGTCCCTTCAGATCTTTATGGACTTGAACTTTCATCAACTAGGGTGGGAGGGTGGAAGCTGAAGCCCCTCAACTACACTGGAAGGGCAGTTTCCTCAGTGTTTTTCTAGAAAAAGCCAAAAGGAAAAAGCTATCTGTCCCACTGCAACCTCAGCAGCCAGAAAGCTAATGTTTTCCCTTTGAACTCTCCACAGCTGAATACTGGAGTTTTTCAAAGCTCTGACAGACAATCCAGGCAAGGCTGCAGTTTCAGATATTCCCATCACTCCCTCTAATTGTTGGTCCCAAAGGCCTTGTTTACATGCAGTAGGTGAGTTCTGTTAAAAGGATGTCACCCCACTAGAGAAATCTTCACTTCAGGTACATTAATCATATAAGTCTCAGCTGATTAGTCCTTCAATCAAATTTTAATAAACACTATAGCTTTGAAATGAGACGCACATTCTCTTTATTTTCAGAGGATGCTTGTCACGCAGCTAGCACTGTTGCACAAGAGGTGTCTTCTCTTTGTGTGAGATAGGAAGGGATGCCTTTTCTAAAACAACAGCTGGCCTTCAACATTTCTGTCAAACACCACTTTAAAAGTTAACTAAATATGTAACAAGCTGGATCAAGGTTTGGGTTTTTTTTAGTCTGCTCGATCAAAGTTATAGTCTGAACTCAGCCCACACTGAACATTTCTCCATCACAGTAGTGATCTTTCATTACTTCCCCTCATATATGAATGAACAGGTTACAGGTTAGCCAGCAACCTTTTGTTTGAATACTGCCAGACATCACTACTGAAATGTCAATCTCTGTGTCCATCTTGTTTTACATCTCCTGGCTACCCTTATCTGCCTCTTTGACTAAATGAATATGAAATCATGAAAGCAGTTTTTATATAACTACTGTGTATGAAGGAGAAAAAAAATGTCAGTACTGAAAGGGAGGAGATGATTATGTGTACAAACTCTACAAATCAGTAGAGGACCAGATGACAGTCACCTCCTACCCACTCTCAGCTTATTTTGAGAATCTTATCTATGTGAATGTTTTTCAGGGTAGTCAAAATGCCAGCCAAAATGCCACCCTTCTAGAAACAGCTGCTTTCAAACACTGAGAAGAGATTGCAAGGGTCAAAAGGAGCCTGCCTATCATACACCAGCTCCAGGAGGAAAATTGTGGTGCTTCATATCACACAATCCATCTTGGCATGCATACCTGTATCTGGAGGTTTGAGAGGAAGTCTACTATGGTGAGCAGGTAGTATCTCCAACTTGACATTTTCTGATGTTGCAGCCAGGAGCTGCGTGGCCTCTAACAAGGAACAGTGTTCTGTGCTAGTGCCATCAATGGAAAGGATGTGATCACCAACGTGCAAGGCCCCACATCTGCAATGGGGAAGAAACAACAACAACAAAAACACAAACTGAAGAGTAACCTGCAGCAATTGGTTCAAAAGATGCTCTCTCTCTCTCTCTCTCTCTCTCTCTCTCTCTCTCTCTCTCTCTCTCTCTCTCTCTCTCTCTCTCTCTCTCACACACACACACACACACACACACACACAGACACACACACACACACACACACATTACAGCTGTCACCTAAGCCCCAATAGCATTCCACCAAATCTTCTGCCACATGTTTGGAGTTCAGCTGAAACCAAAAATTAAAGAGCCAAACATCTAGGCTTGGATTCATCTGGTTGAAGATTCATGAAACCACAGACCTTTCACCCAAAGAAAGATAGTTTAGCTGAAACACCAGCCAACCTTTCTCTATATACAAAACATCAACATGCTGAAAAAAGTCTAAGTGCAAACTTTCTTATTTGAATTCAAGGCGCTTTCTAGATAATAAATAACCCCAGATTTTTTATCATTAAATTCTTTTATTCTGTACCATCTCTGACATTTAAAAAGAGAGAGAGAAGAGTTGAGAGATTAGGATACCTATTATCCATCTTGTAGAGAAGAACATGTGTAATTTCAAAAAGAGTTTGCGGGAAGAAAAATACTGTAATTGTGAAATGGGTTGAATTCATACCAGACTGTGTTTGGTTCTTCCTCAACACATACACACTTTCTTGAAGGACTAGAGGAGTCCTCTCAGGCTACAACACCATATAGTCATACAGCCACATTCTAAGAGAAGGGAAGATTTTTCAGTGCTAAAAAAAGAAAAAAAACATCTAATAAAACAATCTCTTAGAGCAGATTATTATAGTCCCCAGATGTTTTTGTACTGCAACTCCCAGAAATTCTGGCTAGCACAGCTCTTGATGAAGGTTTCTGGGAGTTTTAGTGCAAGACATCTGGGAACCAAGATTGGGACCACTGTTTTAGAGGAAACATCCACGGAACATAGAATGCTTCAACTGTGTCCTTACTAAACATGGAAAAATAATGAAACCAAACCAAGACTGGGACCACTGTTTTAGAGGAAAGATCCACGGAAAATAGAATGCTTCAACTGTGTGCTTACTAAACATGGAAAAATAATGAAACCAATGGCCAGTCAAGGTCCATCTACAACAGCCTATTCAGCAAGCAGTATGAGAAGAAGTCATCCTAGGTTTATGTTACTACTGCCTAGGAAGTCATCACTTCATGAACCAGCTGAATGTTCATCCTGCAAATTTCTGTTCACATTGCAACTTCAACTGGGTCTAATTAATCTCTGACAAACCAAATTTGGTTATCTTTGACACACTGAGAGGTTAAATTCACTTCCTCTGGCAAGGTCAAACATTTGCTACAAGGTCCTGCTGTTTCACAATATTTGTTTTATATTAAATAGGGATTTTGTTCCCCCCTGACTCCTGAGAAAATGTTCTTGAAAGAGTTTTTCATATTTATGTGCCTACTAGGATCTGAGGAACATCAGCCACCGAACCTTATTTCTTGCAGGCATATATTTCAGTTGATGCTCCAGGCTAAACTTTAGTTTTAAATAGAGTGTCTGTTCTGTCTTGTTATTACTTTTTGTGTGATCTGAAAGTTTACCTGCAGACACGTGTCTTCAGATTACAGGAGAAGATTTGGGATGGAAGTGGCCAGCTCTCTACTAACCCTTTTTTTGTCAACTAAAACACACCCAAAAAAACCCACAACAAAAAAACACAATGCACTTCCAGAGAACAAAACATTGCCCACAACCCATTCTGAGAATCACTGTCTTGTATACTGTACTGTATTGCTCTATGGAAAACAATAATCATGCCTTCTTTAGGAAGTGTGCTGGTGTGGATCACAAATTACCCTGTCTCATGGCCCCCCGAAACCTTCCAGAGGGAATTTTCAGCTGAGTAGAAAGAGAAAACAAAACATAACCCAGCAATCCATACCTGTCCACCGCACTGGCTGGTTTGATCTTGTCAATCACTATGACCTGCTTATTCCGATGCGTGCTCGTTGCTAGCGTGATTCCTAATGCAGAGCCGGGAGTCTTTGCGATTTCCACCAGTAAAGGGCCTGAAGCATTGGCTACAGTATCTATAAAAGGACAACAACAACAATAACAACATCAACAACACATTTAAAGTGCTTCCACGTCAACTCTGACTGAGCTGGAAAGGGCAAGCAATGATTATCATACTGGGCCAAGCATATGGGCACTTGTAGCCTGCCATCATTTTATTTAGAAGATCCTCTTGCAAAACATTACGCTGACCTGGAAAAATGAAAAGCAACAGAGCCTTTGCTCATTTATACGTCAAATGTGTTTCCCAATCTCACCCCTTGCCATCTTCTCTGTATTTGCAGTTGGCTGTTTTGACTGCCAAAGGTCCACAAAGGAGGGGACGAAGCTTGTTGAGGACAAAGTTAAAGGACAGACAGACAAATAAGAGGAAGAACAAACCTCTTTATGTGTGGTGGTATTTAGCACTGCAAACACATATTGGAGTATGTCAACAACTGGGCTCATATTTTGAACAGGCCCTTCACTCTTGAAGCCCCTTGCTCTGGTCCCTATTACTTCACCAGAACAACAACAACAACAACAAAAAGCAAGGGCATGAAAACAAAGAAATATTTTGAAATATTTGCATTCATTCAGAACACATCCCTCAATGTAGGGTAAAAAAGGGTTTTAAAATTATTTAGGATGCCCCCAATTTTAAGACGTTTAGCAAGATCTCTACCTATTGCTTAACTCACTTCATAAATTATCACCTAGGCATATTGTGTTTATCTGAATAAAAATTTCAGGCATAAACTTTCAGATGAAATGGGTAACAGTCCATGACGTCTGACTACTCTTTAAGGCTCAACAAGACTTTTTAATTTTCGCAGCACAAAGTTCTTTGTAGTTTTTACTACAACCGACTAACACCACCACTCCATCCTCACATATTTTATTTGCTCTGAAGTGCACTCAATTTCTCTGTTTATTTGATTGCAGAGGATCTAATTTGCTACCTAGTAACCCTACTGAAATTAAACAACACCAGACCAAAACCTAGCAAGGTTTGCTTGCACTCCTTTTCATCTGAGCAATCCAGCTGCCGAGAGGTTATTTTAGATTAGCATGCAAATAAACTGCAGCGCTTGCCCAATGTGTATATTGTTTTAGTTTCTTCACAACTCATCTACTGGACAATCAATCTTAGTTAACACTTACCAAGGCTTTCCAGAATTAATCTATGAAAGCCTAACCAGGTACACTATGAACTAGCAAGCAGCTAAATGCCTGTAAACATCGCAGATGCCCGTGCAATTCATGCCGTTTAGGATTGTGGCCTGAAGAGAAGAGACATTAAGTGCCCCTTTGATGTGCACATGCTAAACTCTTGTTCATCTGCTTCCAATTCAGCCCTTTCAGACTCTTAAAACATTGTTACTCGCACACACATTGCAGCCTCCCTAGCAGACAAGAATATTCACTCTGTTCTTGTTAAGTAAGGCAGGCTCAACTCAACATGATGAGGAATTTGCTGGACAAGGAACACTGTTTTTTCTACTCAAGCTCTGTATAATTAATTGGCATGAACTCCCTCTGCACGCAACTATCCCTTTGAGAGGCCAAGCACATGTACCGCAACTACATCAAGGCTGGTGGATGGCTGATGCTTGTAATCCTCAAAAGCCCATGCAACAAAGCAGCCACCACCATTATTCTGAGCTATTTGGGCTACTTGCCTCAAAGTGTAATTCGTGCACTTTCGCGCAATTTGCTCAAAAAACTCTTCCTGTCCTTGACTTTTGTCAGGAGTGTCACAAAACACACACACACACACAAACCCTCACCCTCTAATGGGGCAAGGAGAATAATTTTGTGGTTTTTTATTCTCACATGCAGAGACAATTGAAGAGTTACAGCTCTATTTAATGTATGTAGATGCCTTATTTCCTTGCCAAATGGGTGTAGCTGTTGCTGTCAAAGAGTTGTTCACACTTGGTTGTTGTGAGTTTTCTGGGCTGTTTGGCCATGTTCTGAAGGTTGTTCTTCCTAACTTTTCGCCAGTCTCTGTGGCCGGCATCTTCAGAGGAAAGGAGCTAGAACTCTGTGTTCAGTAGTTCACATTGTCTAGGGCATTATGGAGCCATTGTTGGGGTAAGGACTAGAGTGTCCAGAAAGAATGAAACCCTAATGTTTTTCAAAATCATGAGCATAAATCAAATTAACATCTTGGCAGGGGGAGGAAGCACCAGACACACACCATAGCTATCTCTCTATCTCTCTATCTCTCTGTCTATTGGATTTATAAGGTAAAGGTAAAGGTTCCCCTTGACAATTTTTGTCCAGTCGTGTCCGACTCTAGGGGGCGGTGCTCATCCCTGTTTCCAAGCCATAGAGCCAGCGTTTTGTCCGAAGACAATCTTCCGTGGTCACATGGCCAGTGCGACTTAGACACGGAACGCTGTTGCCTTCCCACCGAGGTGGTCCCTATTTATCTACTCGCATTTTTAACATGCTTTCGAACTGCTAGGTTGGCGGGAGCTGGGACAAGCGACGGGCGCTCACTCCGTCGCGTGGATTCAATCTTACGACTGCTTGGTCTTCTGACCCTGCAGCACAGGCTTCTGCGGTTTCGCCCACAGCACCACCACGTCCCTTGGATTTATACCCTACATCATCTAGCAACCACGCCACTCTGGGCCACTAACAACAATATAAACAGCAATAGTAAAACATGATAGAAAATAAAATAATACATAGCAACAAGATAAATTAAAACAGATGGCAATGAAAGTGGTTAAAGGGTGATGAAAAAGATGGCGAAAAGGATGGTAAAAGGGGGCTGAGATCTTAATAGTGAAAGCCTGGCAGGAGAGCCAAGTCTTCAATGCTTGTTTGAACCCATCCAGTGAGAGTGCCAGGCGGATCTCAATGGGCAGGTTGTTCCATAGGCGGGGCGGCGACCGCCGAGAAGGCCAAGTTTCTTGCTCTTTCCCTCCAAGCCTCCTTTGGGGTCAAGGCCCTCAACTGCCCTGCCTGTGAAGAACGAGTACTACAGACAGATCTGGCTGGGAGCAGGTGTTCTGATAGGTACTGAGGTCCTATAACTTTTAGGGCTTTGAATGTTATCATCATAACCTCGAAATCGGTGCAGAAATGAACCATCAGTCAATGAAGCGTGGTCAGAGTGGGGGAGATGAGCTGAAATTTCTTCACCCCAGTTATTAATCTGGCTGCCGAATTTTGGACCAGTTGAAGTCTCTGCATCATCCTCAAGAGTACTCCCACATAGAGAGCACTGCAGTAGTCTATTCTTGAGACTACGAGCGCATGAATCAGTGTCGTGAGTGCCCCCGGGTCTAGATAGGAATGCAGCTGGGCAGTCCTCCGAAGATAGAAATGGGCTGCCTGGACCACAGATGTCTCCTGGGTTTCCATGGTGCGATCCAGGTCTGGGCAGATGCCCAAGCTATGAACCTCACTCTTCATGGGAAGAGTCACTCCCTCAAAGGAGAGGGAGTATCCCAGCCCACTGATGCCAGGGCTGCCCACGCACAAGATATCCATCTTGTCCAGATTCAACCTCAGTCCATTTGCCCTCATCTAGCCCAGGATGGTCCTCAAGCAGCATTCAAGGGACGGAACAGCATCCACTGCAGTTGGAGAAAAGGAGAGGTAGAGCTGGGTGTCATCACTGTACTGATGGCACAGGGCCCCACAACTCCGGATGACCTCACCCAGTGGTCTCATATAGATATTAACCAGCATTGGCGAGATGATCGACCCCCTGCAGAACCCCACAATTGAGGATCCACAGGGTGGAAGTCATCTCACCAAGCTGCACTCTCTGGGGCTGGTCCTCCAAGAAGGAACGGAGCCACACCAGAGCGAGGCCACCAATCCCCAACTTGGAGAGCCAGCCCAGGAGGATACCGTGGTTGACGATATTAAAGGCTGCTGAGATATTGAGGAGGACCAACAAGGACATGTTGCCCCTGTCGGCCCAGGACCAACAAGGACATATTGCCAATGTTGTTTCCATACCATGCCACACCTGAATGCCAACTGGAATGGATCAAGGGCATCAGTTTCCTCCAGGAGGGCTTGTAGCTGATCAGCCACCACCCTCTGAACCACTTTACTCAAGAAAGAAACATGGGCAACTACTATTAGTACTACTCTTACTACTAATAATAGCATGCTATCAAGCCAATTCTGACTTATGCCTTTTCAGTATTTTCCAGGTAGAGAATACACAGAAGCAGTTTACCATCCCCTTCTTCTGTGGACTCTCTTGGACACTGCAGCTTGCCCAAAGCTACATAGGTTGGCTCTTCTCCTAAGAGGTATAATGGGTAATTGAACTCCCAACTTCTGGCTCTGCAGCCAGATGACTAAACCATTGAGCTATACAACCAGCTCTTGCTTAATAACAGGAAATATTTTTTTAATGACACGAAGGAGGTTTAGGAGAGATAATGAAACACATCTCAAGCAGAAAACACCTGTCTTATCTAGAAACATAAAATCTCCTCTCCCTAAAGCAGGAGAGAGACATCACAAAACTGTAGAATTTATGAAACCGGGGTGGGGGGGGAAAGGAAGTTATCACTGTACAGCCAGCAATTAGGGCATTCAGTGCACTCAGGAGATGCAGAGGCTTGCAAGTGTCACAGTAACCCATTCCCTATCACTTCAAAGGAAAAACTAATGGAATCAGTTCAAGGAAATTCTGCACCCTTGCCTCTTAATTTTTCAGAGCAAGGCTTTCCCACTCGGGACCACTTCTCCGCTGGGAAGCTGGTATACCCTCCAACTACTACTGCTATCGAAGGAATGTTATTTTATTTTTATTTTTTTGGTGGGAGGACTACAGCTTTTTATATTTCCCTCCCCTTGGAATTCTGGGAGCTAGAAGTAAAAAAACAACAACTTTTCTATGCCTTGCCAAAGTTAGCCTGCTTTCTAGTATGCTGTTGTCCCCGTTTCTGCTACTGAATGGTACCTAATTAGAAGGTGAACTCTGTTCTTCAGTTTTTGGCTCCTCATCCAGGATCCTCTGAGGCTGATTTATTTATTAGATACCATTACA